CTTGAAAGGCAAGTTTTATATATGTGTACCACATAGTTAGCTTGTTCCGCAAGCTACCAACACGTGGTTAACTTGTTTACCAATTTTTTAACTTATCAATCAACTACAAATACATATAAAGTCAAAGTAGTATCTATGAAGCTTCTAAGAAGCTATCCTAGAAATTATTATAAAATTAACCTACTTTTAACTACTTTTATCTATTTCTACCTAATCATATAGGTATTTATTAGAGTACATATGTATATCTATAGAAACTATTTAAAGAATTTTAAGTTGTCATTTTCAAAGAAATAATTATTATCAAGGATTGAAAAACTCACTCTTCATTTACAATAATATTTGTGGATCAATGAGCTCAAAATTATTTGAAAAAAATCAATATTTTTTCTTCTTTAAGGATGACTTCTCAAGTTATTGCATAGTTTATTACATTTGCTAAAAATTTAATGTACTAAAAAAGTTCAAGGACTTTTGCATTCTTATTCTTTAATAGACTAGAAATTCCATCTAAAAGCTATAAAATTATTAAAAAAGAGAATTCTTAGATAAAATATTCATGAAGTTCTTAATTAATTTTGATATTTTACATGAAGTCATAAGCCTTCATAGCCAAGAGTAGAATAGAAGCACAAAGCAAGAAAATTTCTCTTTAGTCAAGTATGTGTATATGATGATACATGTGAAAAAACTTAATTTGAGCCTTTAGAGGGAAGCTTTGTAGATTGTTGTTTAATTACTAAATCCTATAGCCTCATACAAAAGAGACTACAAAAATTTCTACAAGCTCTATACTAGATAAATATCTATAATTTTTCACCTTTAGATTTTTCAATGTATAGCATATGCCTATATACCAAAAGCACATAGAAAGAAGTTGGATCTAGAGATTATAAAAACCATCTTCATTGATTACTATACAAATATAAAGACATATAGCTTCTAAAATAGATATTAAGATAGAATAATTATAAGCCACAATATTATATTCAATGAATTTTTTATCTTTGAAAAATCCATCCCTTCAACTTTTTCATGTCTATTTTCATTCTAAGATATAATTGTTAGAAATTCTCTAAGCACAAATTCTTCTTAGCCTATCATTATAAGTTCAATTTATAAACAAGCTATTACATATATAAATAATCAAAATTTTTAAGAATAAAAATAGTTGAATCAAATAATAAGCAACACATATACTCACCATCTTTTTTACTTATTCAAAGCCAAATCACAAATATTAGGCACTCAATTATATTAAGAATAACTTCATTATAATTACAATCAATAATATGCCTTTCTTGCATCTATAATATATCTTTTTTATTTATAAGACTATGTCATTTTTCACTCCTTTGCTAGTCTTGTGTCTAGTGAGAATATTTCTAATGATTCAAATATGTATGAAGAAGTTTTAGCCAACTTCAAAGTTATAAAATGGCAATATGCAATGAAAACCAAGTATAACTCCCTCCTTTAGAATGGCATCTAATATTGTGTATCTTTCTCTTTTGGTCGCAAGCTAGTAAAGTACAAATGTGTTTATAAAATAAAAACAAACTTTGATAGAACTATGGCAAAATTCAAGGCACATCTTGTTGCAAATGGCTACATCCAAAAATATAGAATAGATTACAATCAAACCTTTAGCCATGTTGGAAAGTATGAATCTATTTGGATAGTGCTTACTATTGCTACATAATAGCACATGGCTATTATTTAGTTTGACATTTAAACAATGTTCTTCCATAGATAAATCAATACAAAAATTTATATACAATAATCTCAAGACTTTGAGGTTAAAAATCCACAAACATCAACTTTTGTGTATTTATTTCTTGAAAGCATGTATAATTTGAAGTAATGAAGATGCATGTGGAACCAAACCTTCCATGATTTGTACTTCTTTCTACTCTATTGCCATATAATGCCTTCTGTATACTCCAATACTAACCTACTCTAGCATCAATTATGCTATGAGCATGATTACCCAATTCTTAGCAAATTCCTAGCAATAATATTATCAAGTGCATATTTTTCTATCTTGCAAGTATCATGCATCTTATTCTATGCTTCAATAATAATAACCAATCCCTATTATTCAAAAGATATGGAGATGCAAACTATATATGTGATATTTTTAACTGTAAATTATACATTGGCACATTATACTTGCTCAATGGTATCCAATTCATTGCTACAGTAAAAAAATAAATTATGTGGTTAGTTCTACAACTAAATTTGAATATATTTCAGTTGGTTCAACAACCAAAGAGATCATCTAGTATTAAAAATTACTTTTAAAAAAAAATTCAACTAATTTAAGTAACATAGTTTTTTTTCAACAATTAAAGCACCATATGTCTAGTTCACAATCCTAAATTCAATTGTTGCAAAAACTGTATTGACATTGTATATCACTTCATCTAAGAACATCAATGCCTTGGAAATATTGATATTTAATATATTCCTATCGTAGATCAACTAATAGACTTTTTGACAAAGATCCTCTCATTTGATTATTTTTTCTTGCTTCAAAAGTCTATTGATTTGCCTCCATTATCCACAACAATACTTGTAAACTAATTACTTTTATGTTATCTTAATACTATAGCCTACCATTATTAGATACTATTGGTCTAAGGGAAGGTGTTGAAAATATTACATATGCAATGAACTAGATACTTAAATATTTAGATAGCAGATCAAATTGATTAAAGAGATAATAATTATATTGCTTAGCCAAATAATCAAGGTTATTACAACATAGTGTTTTAAATCTCTACAAAGTTTCATACATAATCATATATTCTTTAATTTATGCAATTAATGCAAAAGATCTCTCTTGTATTAAAACTATTGTATAAGCAAGGTCAAAGCATTTGAGTTCTTTCTTTACTTTCAATACTACAAATATTTGAACTTTGGAAATCATTAAAGTCATGATTCATTAGTCTTATTTTATTTCAACTAATATATGTAAATTTTTTGAAGAAATAACATAATATTAATTAGATTATGATAATTTATTGAGGTCTTAGAGAGGTTTTGACACAAATAAACTTGTGACAACAATAAATCTTCTATTGTTATATTTCAATATACCATATGATTTAATTGTGAAGTAAATTACACTTAAAAGATAACTATGTAAAATTTTTTAATTTATTAGATGTAATGTATTTATGATGTGGTTTATTTAAAATAATATAATTTTTTTAAATAATGATTGTTCTTAATTTCTATTTTTTTAAATAATAATAATAATAATAATAATAATATTAATATTTGATTTTGAAATATCAATTGAAGTTAATAATATTTTTTTAATTGAAATGTAAATTTGGGCATAAAATTATAATAAGAGTCCACTTAAAGCACAAACAAAGCATATCCAAAAGATTCAATTGTTATAATTCAAAATTACACTGATAGCTATAAATTTTATATAAAGTAATAGACTTACTTGATGGTATAAACAAGTTTTCAAACAAGCCAATTTTATTGTGAAAAAAAACTTAATAATCACATAAATCTTAATTTTATATTTATATATGGATATTGAAACATTGACCAAATATTTTGCTAAATTGACTAGGTTTTGGTCTTAATATCTTATTATGTACTACATAAGTTTAACATACAATAAGATACAATATATACATATCAATTTTGAAGATATTGTATTAATTTGATATGTATACAAATAATCTTGATAATATATATATATATATATATATATATATATATACATGCATAAAAATTTACAAATGTCCTATATTAACTTAGTTTTAATACTTTAACTAGTTTTTAAGACATATCAATAATAAATATGAATAATTTTTTGTTATTCTTTAATAGTTAAAGATTATGTGAGAAAATTATGCAATACATAGTAAGATACTATGACCAAAATCTAGTCAATTTAATAAAAACCTCAAGAAATATATTGGTTATATATATATATATATATATACACACACACACATGTATATCATAGAAGTCATAAACAAAACTAATGCTTATTAATTGGAATAAACTTGTTCATATAAACTTTCAAAGAAATTATGTATAATTTATCAATCTTAAAAAACTACTATACTTAACTGTGCATATTTAATAGTTTACCAATGTTAAGACTCTCTTTAATACTCTTTAAATATACAAAAATACATCTCATTCAATCAACAACAAAGAAGCTTTCTTTAAATTGTCAACCTTTTTTTAATCTTACGTTTATTGAAGCCAGAATGTGCTGTGGCTAACATTTTATTAGTTATTAATATAATTATTCTGTTTTATACACAAAAATGTCTAATAAAATGTAGGTAAAGGTAAATTTCAACTGTAAAATCAATAAATAATTAAATAATTAAATAGTGCAAAACCGTAAAGACTACAACACATTAACGAAAATAAATTTAAATAACTGAACAATCAATACTGTAGTATAAAAAACTTTAAATCTTGCATACTCAAAACGTGTCGAAATTTTAATACAAACACTTACACATCTCAGACTAAAATGCAATATATTCAAACCCGTTACAATGAGAAATAACTTCCTGGATAAATTCAATGACCAGATTCATCGAAACTCGTCAATGGGAGAATATTACAACACTTGCATCTTAAAAGAAACAACCACTACCAACAACCTGGAGCGCATGGAACGAGTGAGGAACGCAGCGGGGAAGCCAGCGGGGGCGAGGAGCTGAGGAGGTAAGAGGGGGGGGGGGGGGGGGGGGGGGTTGCAGAGGGACCTCGGGGGCCTGGCCTGATGGCGTGGGCGAGGTGCATGGCGCTCCCTGATGCCTCCACTTTTGCGTCGCTCTCTCTTTGCTCCTCTTCGCCCCACATGGCAACCCCGACTCCCAGTGTCATCGCCGTCTCTCCACGCGCCGTGGCAGCTCTCGCTCCTCCCTGCCCTGGCACGCTCCCATTTGCGCCCATGATCCCTTTTGGCTCAGAGCTCCACCGTATTTATCCGCCCGTGCAGGTCTTGCTCTCTGTAACCCAATTCGCAATCGTTTCAGTAGCGCACATCCGAGCCTCTGTGTGATTTTTTTAGTGTGTATTTGTTGGACCTACAGACTTCTGCTTTTTTGCGTTGTATCTAGACGGTTTTCGGACTCGTTGACATGGCTTCCATGAGTGCAGTGGCGTCCGTTGCAGCTGTGCCTACTGGTTTGAGGAGTGAGCTTAGAAGCTCCGCGAGGAGCCGGGGTGCTGCCTCTCATGTGATGGCCGGTGCTACGTCGTCCCGGCGATCGGTGGTTGTGCAGGCCTCCAGCTCGGAGCAGGTGCGAATTGTGTGCTGCGATTGATTGCTGTGAAATACTGGCACTGGTGCTGGGTGGCTGGGTGCGAGGATTTGGGGATAACGCAGCCGGGGGCGTACAGCCATTGGCTTCTCGCAGCCGTCGCTGGAAGTGGGTGGTTAGGCAGGGGTAGTTGCAGATGATTGTGTGCTCAATTTAGTGTTGTCTGGCGGTTTCAGCACTGAAATGTGGCAATGTCGTGCGCTGGAAATGCAGGAGAGTCAAGCGTGGAACGTCGCCAAGAGCGCGGCTGCCGCTGCCGCGGTTTCGCTGATGCTGAGCGCTTCCCCAGTAGAAGCCAAGGAGGACAATGCATTCCTGAGCTTCCCAGACAACGAAGCTGGAGAGGCCGTAAGTTTGCTGCACACCTTAACAGCCTGCTTTGTCGTTGGTGGTAGGGGTATTGCTGGGATCGGGTGTGTGACGCCGCATCGTCCGGAAGGGATGTTATTGTGTGTTCATGAATGCGCGGCTTAGCGGTGCGTAGGGTGCATGCGGACATGTACGTCGACTTGCACGAAACGGGGGCAATGAGACATGTCGGCAGTGGATTGGGTCGTGATTGGTAGATGTGGTGGTTTGCATGGCCTGTAGCGGCATGCGCAGTGTGCGTGGAGTCGTCGCTGAATGTTGGCGGTGTGTGTGATTGACGGCCTGAATGCATTTTGCAGTCGCAACGAATTCTGGGAGATGCGAAGAGGAAGGGCGACGAGTCATTCGCCGAAGCCCAGAAGACCGGGATGGAGATCACAGGCCAGGCTGCCAGCGCCGGAGAAGCCCAACCCGCCATCAGCCAAGTGGACCCTAACGCACCAGAAGCCTCCGACAAGATTGGTGACGCCATCGCCGCGAGGGCCGACGTGAGGCGCCGTGTGCCATGTGTATTTTGTCATTTTGTCGGGTGCAAGCGTTTGCGAGCAGATGGGTCGTTTGACGAGGAGTGTGGAAGTGAGGTGTGGATTGTCCTGACTGCGTGTGGACTGTGCAGGCCGCTGCGGACTTGGCGCCCGGAACCGGGCAGCAGAACGGGAAGAAGGGGGTGAACCCGATCGCCAAGGCTTTTGCCACCCCGACCCGGGGCCTGGGAGACAAGGCGAGCGAGAACGAGGGGCGCCTGAGCAGGAACAAGGAGAAGCAGAACAATTTGCCCGGTGACGAGCAGACGTACAGGCAGAACACGGGCATTTCGGAGAGCATCTACAACACGTTCAAGGCTGCGGGCGAGGGCAGGGATGCCAACGTGGGCATGAAGCCGCAGTAAGCGGGTGCATGTAGGGGCGCTGCAGGGCGCTGCGGGTGTACAATGTGTGTATATTGCGGACCGTGTGACGCAGTGTGTAGTAGAGTAGTGGCAATTGAGGTGCGCAAGCTGTGGGTAGTTTCGGATGCGCTTTACAATGACCTGTAACGTTGATGATGAGAATAACACAAGAGCATGGGCATGAGTCGGAAATTGTGGCTCATTGGATTTATTGCATATTCTTTGGTGAGGAATGGTTTCGAGTGTTGGTTCATGGCCTTGATCTTTGTTTGTTATGGAATAGAGGGAAATTTGACTTCTAACTGGGTTGTTGTATGTTGCAGTCGTTCAAATGTTAGGGATTGGAGAGTCAATATTGCTGTGAAGTATTTCTGATGAGGCGATTTGGGAGCTTTAGATGCTGCAGGATTGTTTGGATTGTGACCTCGGTTTTCTGCTTTTGTGGGAATGGTTAATTTTGTAGACCTTGAAATTTTAGTTTTGTGCGTGTAGGTGACTTTGAGGTTGAAGGATTGTCTGATAATAGGTTGTTACTCTTTTTCTGTACAGTTGTAGCCTATGTGTTGATTATTCATCTTAAAAAGTATGTGTCTTAATTTTTGTATGATATTGTGCCAGTTGACTTTACCCCTTAACAGTAATTTTACATGGCTGCTATAAGATTATGCAACTATTTAGTTTGTTTTTTTAAAATTTGATATTTTTCAGTATTGCAAAATGCATTTGATTTTGCAAAAGTCATGAGTGAAGGAAATGTCCTCTGTATTACTCTAACTTTTTAATGTGTTTTTTTTGTGAAATGAACCCAATGAATAATTTATTTCATCTTTGTTTGTAGTTTTTTTTTTATGTTTGTAATGGAGAAGTAATCATCTACAAACATAAATTAGGATTAATTGTACACTGAAAACCCCCCCCCCCCCCCTCTTACCTCCTCAGCTCCTCGCCCCCGCTGGCTTCCCCGCTGCGCAGTTCGTTTCCCCTCCCGTCCTCCCTTTTGGAGCACCTGGATCATTTCGTGGATGGATGAAAACATAATTTCATAAGTTGGATGGAAGGGTTCTTGGGGAAATCCGGGTCCTGCCCACACATCCTCCCTCCCGCGACCTCCGCCTTTGTATTCTGGTCTTGGTCCCTGCTTTGTTCCTCGCCCGTTCCCTGCAGCGATTGCATGTCTCGAAATTGGTGAGGGAGTGCTAACTTTAGTCAAATCATATGTTCTACAACTATTGAGAATATTTTTTTCGTTTCTTTTTATTTTTCGATTTCGGAAACTGAAAGGAGATATGATTTTGGAATTTATTTGTTCAAAATGGTTTCTAAGAATTAGAAAGAAAGGAATATATTAAGATTCTACTATAGAAATAGATTTTATTGCATAAATAGTTTCTAATTTTAAATATTGGATAAGAATAGAGGTATGCAAATTTGTGAATATTCAAATTGAGTTAAGTTCTTTCTTAACACTATACTATAAGCTAGAGCTTACACAAATAAAAGTTTCATATGGTATATCATGTCTTTCATCTATTATTTGTAATAAGAGAAGGAAAATGATCACCTTTGCAAAAAAAAAAAAAAAAAAAAAAAAGTACAAGAGAAGATGGCATAACAACTCTATGATATTAATCCACATATTGACAAAGTTGAAGAGACTTAATCAAAAGAAAAAGAGATTGTGTAGATAAAACCAATGCAAGAAATACCATTCCTTCCAAAACAAGCAAAGACATAGATGGATCTAAGATATCTTTGCAATGTATTATTATTGGACAACAAAGAAAATTATGACTTGGAAGAGAGTAAAGAAATAGTAATAGAGAGAAAAGGCAAGGAAGAGGTCTATACCTCTACTCCACCTTCAAAAGATGATTTAATAGTATTGGCAATAGAACCAATACAAAAAAGTTGGTTTAGTAAAGTACTGAGAATGAAGTTTCTTACCTTTATCAAAACCAGGATTCCTAACTTAGTTAAGGATGAGAGCATCTAAACTCAAATTGGACAATTTTCAATACAAGCACATCCTAGAAGAAAGAAATATATAAGATAGTAAAGAAGTTGTTAGGATAACTTCAAGCATCAATCAGATATAATATTTATAACAAGTTAAAATATTCTAATGGAATGTACATTTGTTAATACGTTAATAATTAGAATAGTTATTGAGTAGTATTTACTATAATAAAGGTATCAAGTTAAGAACTATATTTTTAAATGACTTCAATTAGTAAAATAAGATTATATTTGATTTATGCAAAAGATGGTAGTTTAGAGTAGGCTAAGAGTAATATAAATACAAAGGTAAGAGACCTTTATAAGGTGAGTTGTATCAATACATAATTGAGTAGTCATTATACATGTAGTGGTTGTAGAAGACCAATATTTTGTATCCATCTTCTTTTATCAATTAAAATCATTATTTTTTATTTAAACTTGATAGAGTTTTGAAATAACTTATATATTTTTGAGAGGTGAAAATAGGTGACAACATACTCACTAAGTTAAAGTAATAATATAACAATAATAAGTTAGTATCATGGACATATATATATATATATATATATATTACCTCAATAGTTACTTATATGATTAAGTAGAAGTAGGTAAAATAGAATAATTTCATAAAGTCTTTTAGAGAAGCTTCCTAGAAGCTTCATAGACGTGGTTTTGACTTTAGATATGTTCGTAGGTTAGAAACTTGGCCAAAAAGCTGACCATGTATTGGTAGCTTGTGGAATGAGTTATCTCTGTGTAGTAGCTTGTGGAAAAAGCCAACTACGTAGCGCATACATAGATAACTTGCCTTGCAAGATAAGACATGTAGCTAGCAAAGTCAACACATATGGGAGGTCCTATAGGACATCGCCACGTGGCTCTTAGTTAGATAGTATATATGGATGCAAGAATGAAGCCTTCTTCACTCTTGACAATGCCTTTCTAATCTTGGTCTTGTTTCAAGACTTTCTAGTCTTCTTGTTTTTGGCAATAGCCATTCTAGTGAATATTACATCACCTTTTGAGTAACATTTTAGTTCTCTTCAGTGATAGAAGAGTGTATTGAGGATTCCCTTTCTTCGAGATTCATGTCCTTGACAGTTAGAGCATGTAATATTTTGGCAAGTATTTTTATATTAATAATTGAGCTATAATAAATGACATGGCTCTTGAAAGGACATAAAGAATATACTACTATATAATACTTATTGTATCTAATATTTTGTCTATAAATAGCTATTTTAAGATATTATAATAGCTTTTTTGGAGTGTACCAATTCAAAAAAAGACGTATGCAAAATAATTTGTATTTATCACTATTCAATATGGTAGTGGTTTATCATGACCAAAGAGGGCCAAATTTAAAGGAGTGGCAAGAAATATCTTTTTCTTTAATTGAGGCTCTTTAAGGTATCAAAAAGAAACAATGTAATCATATCACCAAGCAATAAGTACAAGCAAAGGAATTACTTTATTTAGGTATTAGTATATTTTTGAAGGATTGTCAAGATAAGAAATATGAGAGGTATAAAGTCATATTTTAGTAAGAAATATTATTAAAATAGATTATTGTGATGGTATAGATATTATGACCAAAAATGATTAGAAGCATTTGAATATAAGATAAAGCTATTACATTACTTCCAAATAATTGATAAGGTGAGGGAAATAGAAAGCATGAAGTATTGTACAAGTTAGAAGAGGAGATGTTCAAAGCCTTTGATCATTATACTAAGTATGGAAATTCTTGTATATTTTTAAATAACTACAAAAGTAAAAATCACAAAAGATATAAACTTATGTGCAAGTAAAAAATAGAACCAATAAATTATCTTTAGTTAATTATATTACTAACAACATTCCAAAGAGCTAATAGTGTTGTGACAAAGTCTTTGACTTGACACTTTGAATTGATTCTAATAGCAATTTAAAAGTTGGAACTCAAAGTAGCATTATTATTATAGTACAAAGGCTAGATTTAGATGTCTTTTGTAACTTGCTCTAAAAAAAAAGAAAAAGAAAATGCACTTATCTTACTTGAAGTTGTAAAAATATTCTATCATTCAAGCAACATTTTATAATTAAGTCTGAATGTGAGGTTTTAGCAAGACAAAGAAAACATGTTTGATAGAAGAATAAGTCAAACAAAGGTAGAAGAAAATAGAAATTGAAGAGCAATTTTCTTGCTATTATAATCTAAGGCCTATATAAGATAGATAAAAGATAATTTAAGATTACTCTTGTAAATGAGATAGAAGTAAATTAAATGCATTGGTCAAAGACAATTAATAAGGTGGATCCTTGGTATTGGAATCCAGAGTTATAAGAGTGTTGTCCTAATTATAAGTCTTTGGAATTGATGTTGATGTACCTAATTTTTATAGGATACTACAACAAAGAGAGAGAAGGCATTTATGTAGAGAGAAGTAAAAACCTCAATGTAGGGACTACCATGCTTTATTCAAATTCAGCAACAAACAACCTAGTGCAATTGATCATCACAAGAATAAATACTTGTATTTTTTGGATTTTTTGCCATCACCACCATAATATCTAAGAGAATAATTCTAAGGCATGTTTCAACAAAGACACATATTGATTACTATGTGTATATTAATGTAGATATAATTTACATAGATTTCAAATCATGCGATGTGTTATCACATAATATATTGTTGTACAGTGTGGTATTTTATGAAAATCAACTTAAAAATGCATTGGACATGTGGCTCCAAAAGATTTGATCTTACCTTGAAGTTGAATTTATAATCTAAGAATAATACATAAGGTGTTTAAATTATTTTTTTTAGTAATACTATACAATCTAAGCATAATTAAAAAGATATTAATTATATATTTTTAACCTTAAAAAAATTCTACTGAAATCTTATCACAATTCTGATTAACTCAAAATAAACCTTGATAAATTATAAAAACCTTAAATAAATCCTAAATAAGACTTAATTAGTTGACAATAAATTATAAAAAATTATTAAAAAATAATTTTAAAAATTTTAAAAAAAATTTCAAAAATCTTTACTAAATCCTAGTCAATCCTAAATAACTCCTTATAAAATCTTAATTAATCAAATCATAAATAAACCATACAACATCTTTATTAAATGTTTACTAAATCTTAACAAATTAAAATCAAATTCTAATTGAATCTTTAGTATATTCTATAAAAAATTTAAAACTTCAATAAATATTATTTTAAA